CAAGTACTCCTAAAAACGAGATGACTCGGGGATCTTTACACGCACACACACAATGGGTTGGACTTGATGGACTAATGTCTTTATTCAACCTCAAATACTATGTAACTATGTAACTATGTAACTATGTAACTATGTAACTATGTAACTATGTAACTATGTAACTATGTAACTGTGTCATCTCATGTATTCACCACTGTAGACACCCCGTATCCCTGAGTGACTCAGGTTGTCTGTATGTCCTTATTTCTTGTTGTAACCCAATAAAAATTGACATGCTTAAAAAGAAGAGGTACTGAGAACCCCAATCCCTTTTCCCACCAAGTTATCCAGGAAAGTTTAACCTCAGTGGTGGGAGTCCGACCTTCATTTTGGTTGCCCCGTCTGACTGACATCATGTGTCCGGGTTTCTGCTGACATGACCCCGGACACAACATCCAAAACCCGGACTGTCCGGGTGAACCCTGGACATGTGCGAGGAGCGGGAGGTATCCAATGGCAGCGACGCATTCCATCTCACGGCAACGCATGTGTTCTTCCAGAACCCCGGCGTGGACCGCGCGCGGATTCTCGATCTGACGTTGGTGGAGCTGGCCAAGGAGCTGAAGGACGGCGCCCTGCCCCCGGAGACGGCCCTCTATGTCTACGTGGAGAAGGTGACTACGGTGGTATATTTGTATGTCGGGGTCACAGTGGTCTCTCCTCAGGTGGGACCCGTCACATGATCTGTGATAATCCTCCGCAGGCTCTTGAAGTTCACAAGGATCTGAACTGTGTGACCGTCTTCCTGTCCGACTGCGAGGCTCAGCTCGGGAAGCTGCGGGAGAGAGGGGAGCGGGGCCCTCTGTACGGGGTCCCAGTGTCTATAAAGGAACATGCCGGCTACAAGGTAATTGGTTATGCTCTGACTGTGATTAGAGTGTCAGCTCCTCAGGAGAGGAGGGGCCCCAGGAGAGGAGGGGCCCCTCTGCATTTTCATGGTGCGGTCTCCATCACTTGTCTATAGGAATATACATTTCAGATTGACCACCTCAGATGGTCCTCAGGCAAGGTTTTGGGGGTCCTAACCGGCCTCTTTGGGATTTTAGGGCCACCCCTCCACGTGTGGGGTCCCCCAGTACCTGGACGCTGTGGAGGAGGAGGACAGCGTCGTGGTCAAGGTCCTGAAGAAACAAGGAGCCATTGTGTTTGCCAAGACCAACGTTCCTCAGACCCTGATCTGGTGAGCCCGGTCACTCCACCATGGGCAGGGGGAGCAGCCAATCACATCTCACCTCTCATTGGTTGGTCATTTCTCTTCTCTTCTATTGGTTGTCAGCATTGAGACCAGTAACCCCATCTACGGGGAGACGGTGAACCCCCACAACAGAGCCAAAGCCTGTGCAGGATCCACCGGAGGGGAGGGGGCCCTCATCGGGGGCCGGGGTTCCATTCTGGGGATTGGCACGGATATTGGCGGCAGTATTCGCTTGCCGTCCAGCTTCTGTGGGATTGCCGGATTTAAGCCGTCGCCGGCCAGGCTGAGGTGAGCAGAAGGAGGTGATGATGATGATGTGAATTCCCGGTGATTGGTAAGTGGAATCTAAGCTCCACCTTCTTTTCTAGTCTTCGTGGCGTCCGCCCGTGTGTGGATGGAATGACGGCAGGTGAGTGGACGCGGCGACCAAACCTCCAATGCAGATCGTCTGTGACACTGACCACGGGATATGCAGCCTCATGTCACATGACTCCTTCTCAAACCTCAGTGTGCGTCTGCGGAATACAGCTGCTTATATAAAGTGCGGTGTGCGCGTGGCTGAGCTGGCTGCAGTCTTATTAGGTGCCAAACCATGTTCAGGAAACGATTCGGCGTGCGCCGTGGTCACCGACCCGACCTGCAGTCCACGCTCATCCATCATTTCC